ATTTCCCATCCAAATATAATTCCTGTCATCAGCCAGAGTGGTTTCGGAAAGTTCTCTAGTCAGCCTTTTCACAGATCTTGAACGCCCCTGATGTTTTAGCATCAACCCATGTTCAGGACTATGGGGGAGAGCCTGCCTTCAGGGCTTATATCCGAGGCGGCAACAGCCAGAAGGAGGGGTGGGTGTTTAACGTAAGAAGGATGTCAGTGGAACGGCTTTCTTTTTCAACTGAGTGGGGCGGATTGGGGAAGGGGCACCCAGTAGGTATGGCAGGTTGGACCCCAAGTCCCGCGCGCGGCCGACAGAGGGCGCTCGGCACGCAGCGGCCAGGCGGGGGCGGGGCTGCGCAGATGCGGAGGCGCAGGCGCACTCGGGGCCTCGCGTCCGCCCTGGCCGGGTTGACGTTTCCCCAGTGGAGGCGGGTGAGCGCGCGGCTTGGGCGGAGGGAGGGGGGCCGGGCGGGCGCGCAGGGCCCGGAGCCGCTGGGGTGGAGGGCGGGCTGGGGATGTGAGGCCTCGGGTGCCCTCGGCTTTGCGTGGCCTGGGAAGACCTTGCAGCGACTCGCGCCGCCCCGTTCCCCTCCCTGCCCGTTGTCGTGCAAGGGAGGGCCGGGTGCCCCGGACGCCCAGCCCCGCAGCAGGCTCGCGGGCGCGGCGCGGAGCAGCGGGGAAGGCCCGGGGGCCCGCAGGGAGCCCGGGGTCTCCCGGACGGCTCGCGAAGCCTGGCGCGGGCCCACTAGGGAAATGTCCATTGTCTGGTGCGCACACTTCCGGGGTCAATCCCGATTGCCCGTTTTAACAAGTAGATGTGGCCCCTCCGCGGTCCCTCTGTCTGGAGCACCCGGGGAGCGAGCTGGCCTGGAGTGACCTTCCCATTTTGATTTCTGCTGCTGAAGGACGGATCAAATCCGTGGCTGAGGCCCCTTAGCCCTTAAGACTAATCTTTTGTTCGCTTATACATTGCATACAACTCGCCCATTTAAAACGCACAATTGAATGTCCTTTAGTACATTCACAGATTGGAGCATCATCCATCACCATAGTCAGTTTTGGAACATTTTCATGACTCCCAGAGCAATTCCTCTTTTAGCTCTCATCACCCCAACCGCCCCTTCCCTCCAGCCCTAGCCAGCACTGAGCTACTTTGTGCCTCTATGGATTTGCCTATTCTGCACATTTCGCATAAATGGAATCATACAGTATTTGGTATTAGCTTTTTTCACCTAGAGTAATGTTTTCAAGGTTCACCCATGTTATAGCATGTATCAGTAGTTCATTTCTTTTTAATTATAAAATAATCCATTGTATGAAGGTACCATGTTTTGTTTATCCATCGGTAAATGTCAAGCCTTTCATCTTTGGTCCCAGGGCTGAATCCAGAGCCACACACATATGAGCTGCTCTGAAAGGCGATGTATGGGTG